TACTACTACTACTACTACTACTACTACGACTACTGCTACTACTACTACTACTACTACGTTGACTACTACTACTACTACTGCTACTACTACTACTACTACTACGTTGACGACTACTACTACTAGTACTCCTGCTGCTGCTGCTGCTGCTGCTACTAGTACCACTACGACGACGACGACGACAACGACGACGACGACGACTACTAAATCTACTAAAAGTAGTAGTAGTGGTAGTAGTAGTCGTAGTAGTAGTAGTACTACTACTACTACTACTACTACTACTACTACTAGCACTACTACTAGCACTACTACAGCGACTACGATTACTTCTACACGACGCATCAACACCTCATTGGCCAACTACTCCTTTTGCATGCTACGAGCCATCACCGCTGCCGACCCTCTTGCCACCACTCCGACTCTTTCGCCGCCGCAACGCCAGGGTGAGGGAGCGGCGCGGGCGACTCCGAGCGGGTTGCTGTAGCAGTATCTGTACAGTGCCATGGTGTCGAGCCCCGCCGTCTGGATCGCCATGGGGCGGCGGATTTCCTGCCCGACACAGATCTGCTCAAATGGGTCCCCGGACTTCTCCCAGGGTTCTTCCTGCCCCACTCCTCGAGGCGGATCCAGCCGTGGCGACGGGGCGCCCCCCTCTGTCTGCACTGGCCCTCATCCAAGGAAGAACTTCGACCATCGAACGCTCAGGAAAGACGACGATTGGTGACCCTCCGCGCACGTGAGGCAGGGGAGGAGGAGGAGGAGGAGGAGGAGGAGGAGGAGGAGGAGGACGAGGAAAAGGAGGGGGAGGGGGAGGAGGAGGAGGAGGAGGCAAGGGGGAACGACGGGGGGGGGGCTGGCTCGGGGGAAGGAAAGCATCAAACTGGGATCGGCGTTACATCAGCGACAGATCGGCGATAGGCCCTCGATAGCGAATCCGCACGTTCCTAGGCGGGGCTGGCTATCGGGCCCCTATCGGCGATGAATGGGCGATTCAGGGTCGACGCACCCTCACCTGACACTATCCCCCCTCAACGTTGCCCCTGAGGAGGGAGGGACCAGGATGGAGCAGACAACGATGCCTCCTCCTGTCCCTCTTACTCCCCCCTTCCCGCCATCCCCCCAGACCCCGACGCCATGATCTTCTCCCACAGAGGGATCAACACATTCTGCAGGAACTCCTCTTCATCCTGAGTACCTGCTTAACGGTCTTGGGACTTGGTGGTCCCCCCCTCGGTAGAGGAAGAACAACAACCATAACCATAAACTTTGGGAGGTCCGTGCGGACTTCTTGGATCGGCGATGGAACCACCTCTCTGGCGCGCGGAGAACGACAGGGGCGGCGCCGGTGGCGCCGCCAGGGGGCCCGGCGCCGATCCAAGGAATCCGCGCAGAACTCCGAGAGTATATGTTCTTGCGGTTCTTTGTTAGTCGACAGGGGCGCCACAATTGCCGCCGAACGGGATGCGAATGCGATTACGTAGCCCCTCCGAAAGCAATCGTGTTGCTTGTCGAGATCTTTTCTGGGCACGCCGCGCGGGCTGGAGACCTGCCGTCGCCGTCCTACCAGACTGAGAAGGGGCGCTGCCTGAGAAACGAAGGGGCTTCTCGAGCCACGGGGAGCCTCGGCCACAAATTGGCAACGGCTCGTTGGCACAGCTGTCGTTGAATTCTGGGTCTCGACGTTTGACCACAGGGTGGGGGAGGAGGGGGGACCGTGTCTGGGCTGGTGCTTAGTCGATCTGCTGATGCCAGTCACGCAAGCAGACTATGGGGAGGGGGGGGCCCTACAAGTCGCCACAAGCAGCCGCCAAGAGCAGTCAGGATCTGGTCTGGAAGGGGGGGGGTGCGGGGAACCGCGCCGACTGGCGAAACAACAAGTAAAACAGACGGTAACCCCCCGTCGCGAATGCTTCAGACTCGTGCGCGAATGCAGACAAGAGACGGCTGGTGCGCGGCGGGGGCTCCTCCGCGGCGGCGGGCAGGCAAGCGCCGTGCGGCGGCCGCTTGGCGCACCGCCGCCCTGCCCTGGGCTCACATGTGCCAGGCCCGGCGGGGCTGTTGCGGGGTCGGCGCGGGCCCCTCGGCGCCCCCTCGAGGAAAGGCGGCGAGCCGCAGGAAGACTCAACACCTCTCCTCCTCCTCCTCGTCCTCCTCGTCCTCCTCCTCCTCCTCCTTCTCCTCCTCCTCCTCCTCCTGCTCCTCCTCCTCCTCCTCGTCCTCCTCCTCCTCCTCCTCCTCCTCCCTCCGTCCGTCCCTCCCACTTTCCCTCCCTCCCTCCCTACCTCCATGTCTCCCTCCCTCCCTCCCTCCCGCTCCTCCTCCTCCTCCTCCTCCTCCTCCTCCTCCTCCGCCTCCACCGCCTCCTCCCCCGCGCCATTTCCTTATGAATAACTCCTTCATGTCGCGCCCCGAGGTCGGTCGGAAGGGAGGACCGGGCGTTTCGTCTGCGCCTTCTCTACGCTTCATGATCCCGAAGATAAAACTTGGAAACCACCTCGCAGATGGGGGGCGGGTCGCTTCCAA